ATCCAAAAAATCCTTTTTCAGTTTGAAATGAGTTTATTAGTGGGCTACGAAGAAAATCGCAGGTATCTTCAAGGATACGCACAAATGACAGAAATATAAACATTGCATAGTGCCAACTGTAGGAACTCTTTCCTTTTTCGCACTTGTCCTCAAATCAGGTGAAATGGTGTGTGTGTGTGTGTGTGTGTGTGTGTGTGTGTGTGTGTGTGTGTGTGTGTGTGTGTGTGTGTGTGTGTGTGTGTGTGTGTGTGTGTGTGTGTGTGTGTGTGTGTGTGTGTCTTGAGTGCGAAAACGGATAGCTAATTCATCTTTGAAACAAAGTTAATCATGTTGGAAAATGACCATTTCACTTAAGTAGCCTAGTATCTTGAACCTTCAGAATTCGCTCAAACTTTGTCTACAGGGATTAATTGACATGCTCATTATGGATATGTTGCCCATTATGTTTGACAGGGCCTTCAGCCAATGCTATCTTAGGTACATAATTCAGGGGGGGGGGGTCTTATTATGACAGCAAACAGGGGGGGGGTCGTAACCAGCGATCGTGTGCCACACCCCTTTCGTGATCTGGTTTCAACTTAGATTTACAGTATGGAGCAAATCATCGATCGCTCTTCATTACTTTAGGATTACGGTAGAAATTTGGAAAGGATTTTGAGCCGTTGAAAGTCATGATTAGCCAAAGCCAACCTAACAACCTGAGGACCCTTACACCAAGCCAATTAGAGCCTCGTTTAACTAAACATGAATTTGACCTTACCGCAATGTTTCCTTCGTGGATTATGCCAAGTTTACTGCAATGCTGTTTTTTAGAGGTTCCCTAAAATTGTGATTATTACATCTGAAAATGCTTGGAAATTTGCAAAAGGTTGAGCATTGAAATCAGCGTGCGTGAAAATTCTGGTACCACTTTTCAGATTTGTTAAGGACTTTCTCCTAAACATGATCAGTTCACAAAAACGCTGTAAGCCAAAAGTTTTGACCGGAATCCTACAGCTCTAAAGAGGGATCGGTGTTTGCTCTATAATGTAACTCTAAGTTGAAGCTAGCTCTACAAGACAGCAGTTGAAGTTAGGCAAAAGTCCTTTTGGGAAGAAAGATATTAACGATCAAACAGTGTATACATACTTTTGTGACACCCTGTACATCATTTCTTCTTATCAGCAACATGCTTACAAGGGAAGTATTTACATTTGTCGGCGATAGAAAATGAGATGTATGTCAGTAGGCACGCCTTTAAACGCTTTTGAAAGAAATAATAAACGTTTGTATGTCCAAGTTTGCCAAGGTTTAGGTGGACTAAAATTGGCGAAAAGCTAGACAAAAACACCGGGAAGAGGTAACAGTTTTGTATCGGGTATTTTGTTTGCAAGGAAGGACCAAAGCCGGTGGAAAACGCAAAGATATTGTTTTTAGAGACTTTCGTTGATTTCAAGCCACTCAATGCTTGGCAAATTTGGACGTTCAAACGCTTATAACTTCTTTCGGAAGCCTATTCCGCAACAAAGGAAGACAGACTTGGAATCAGCGTTCAAAGACGCGTTTAATGATATACATCTCATCTTCAATCGCCGACTAGTGTTGGTATCCTTCCCTTATCAGCACTGTTGGGTTAGATGAACAGTACAACTTTGGAATGTTCTCGCTAACTTTGAAGAAGGAAAAATGACTTTAAAGATATGACGGTCGGCCGATTGTCGGAAATCATATACAATGCTAGAAAATGCGGCTTGTACAGCTTCTCGCTCCTGTTCGATATGTTCATAATGAAGGATGGTAGGAATACTTGCGGATGGTTGACGGTGTGAAATGCAGAAGTTCGGTGAAGTTTTCTTTTAAGCTGCGATCCCCTCCCCGGCGGCGATGTTGATGCATGCGTCTTAGGCCCGTATGCACTAACATTTTTGCGGCGAGGGGAGCGGCGTCCCCAATGATGAAGGGGCCGCGTGCGGACGCCGCTGCGGCTTTTTCATCATTGGGGACGCCGCTCCCCTCGCCGCAGGGATGTAGTGCATGCGGCCCTTAGGGCCGCATGCACTAATATCCCCGCGGGGAGGGGATCGCAGCTTCAGAAGAAAGCTTCATATTCTGAAGCTCCGGATATCTGGATTTCACGCTGTCTACCTATCAGTAAGTATTCCTACTACCCTTCACTATGAACATGTTGAACAGGAGCGAGAAGCCGTACGAACCGCATTTTCCGGCTTTTGTATGATCCCTGATGATCCCCGGCGCTTTTCTTTAAAGTCATTTTTCTTTCTCCGAAGTTAACGAAAACCTTCCAAAGTTGTACTGAAAATCTAACACGATACTGCTAAGCATGTTGCTGATGAGAACAAATGACTTTTTGAAAAGTCGAATTTTTCGGTAAGCCTCAAATTTCGAGCTGTGGATCATCGCAAATTTCATGACTTCAAAACATCATTTGTTCTTAGCAGCAACATGCTTAGCACTGTCTGGTTAGACAATCTGCACAACTCTGGAGATTCTTCTTTAACTTCGGAGAAAGAAAAATGACTTTGAAGAAAAGCGCCAGGAATCATCAGGGATCATACAAAAGCTGGAAAATGCGGTTTGTACAGCTTTTCGCTCCTGTTCAACATGTTCATAGTGAAGGGTAATAGGAATACTTACGGATAGGTACACAACGTGAAATCCAGGTATCTGGAGTTTCGAAATATAAAGCTTTCTTTTAAGCTGCAATCCCCTCCCCGCGGGGATGTTAGTGCATGCGGCCCTTAGATATAACTGGTAAATGCGGCTCCGTCCGGCTCTGCCAACAATATTCTCCTAATCAGTATGCTCACTTACCCCCCCCCCCCCCCTGCCCGTGCCAACTCCCAGCCTCATAGGTTAAACCTTGCAAAAAAACGGTATTGATATTGATCAATGACGACGAAAACTAGCCTACGACACCGTTCCGTCGCGACTTTATGCCAAGTTGTCAGATCTTATCGATTTTTTGCAATTCTGAGCTAGGGCCTGGGAGGGGACAGAGGAGAAGTGAGCGTGCCGATTACGGATAAAATAACCTTTTGCGAAAAAAGCTTTACTTTTTATCGATTTCATCGATCATTTGCAATTTTTGAACTAAGGGGTGAGAGTTGAGCAGGTTAAGTGAGCGCGGTGGGAGGGGAGGAGGGGGGGGGGGGGGAGTAATTGATCGTGTCAAAGTGTAGCAACCGTTTATTATCGTACTTGTTGTTTTTATCCATCCCACCGATTTTTCGTGGAAAAGCTCAATGTTGCGCATAACGAATGGGCAGGAGATCCTTCAAGGAAGCTGTCTCGGCTTTTTTCGGAGGTTTTGGGCAAAGCTGTGAAAAACTCAATTCAGAAAGCAACTGTTCCGCAAATTGTCATTGTTCTTTGAGAAAGTGAGCACGTGAGCAGAAATATATTTTGGGAGGGAATGGTACAGCGTCGCTCAGAATGGAACACTATTTTAGGAAGATGTCATTCAATTTTTTGACCAAATTTTGAGAAAATCTCCAGAAATTTTGAAATTGAAAGCAGCTGTTCTGCAAATATTTCTTTATCTGTCAAGAAGGAGCATGTGAGCAAGAATGACATTTGAAAGGAAAATTTACAGCGTTCTGCGACAAAACATTACATGGGAAGAAAATTTTGAATTTTGAGAACATTTGCTCTGCATAAATTCCAATCTTATCTCAAAAAGGTGAGTGTGAGGGAAAATTCAGTGCTTCGCGAAGCATAACATTATGTTAAAAAATGTAAAAAAATTTTGAAGTTTTAGAAGCAACTTCTGTGCAAAAATTCATTTTTCTCGAGAAGGTGAGCGATAAAGGGTGATATTCTGGGAGAAAACTGCCCAGCGTTTTGCAGAGGAAATCACTATTTGAAGAAATATCATTCAATTTTCGGCCGAATTTTGATGAAATCTCCGAAAAATTCATTTTGAAAGCAACTGCACTGTTTCTCTCACAATGGGAGCGCGTAAGAATGATATTTTAGAAGTAAATTGTACAGCGTTCCGCAGAGCAGAACAGTGTTTGAGAAAACTATAAAAAATATAAATAAGCAACTGCCCTGCAAAACCTTTTTTTCTTTCGAAAAGGTAAGCGTATAAGCAAGAATGATATGTGGGAAACTGTACAGCGTTCTGTAGAACAAAGCACTATTTAAGGAAATGTCATCCACGCAGTGCGGGAGATGGCGGTAGTGATGCGGTAAGGAGGTAGTTCTTTTGTCCAACGGGAAACAGAAGAAGGCCGAAACGCAGATACATGAACCTTTGAAGTTGCGCATCAGTTTTGCACTTTGTTGAGCCAGTTAACACACGGTACGGCAAACCCGAGCACGTCAGCTAGTCTATTAAGTACATAAAAACAAAGAAACAGCACTTGATGAGAGTGAATGTAGACATTGAATTATATAACTGCCTTGAGCTGAAGTATGCCCCAAGGTACTCCTCAGTCTATGCTAAAACATTCTCAAAACACGGATAACATTATGAATTCACCCCAAGAAATGTCGTAAACACGGTGTTGAGTCATGAAACTAAAAATCTAAAACTACTTAGTTATGGACTTTACTCAGGGCATTAACGATGAATACGGCCAATGAAGATTCCAGAAGAAGTTTCTTGGCGGCACACACCTCAGCTGCACTATCGAAGACATAGTAAGTCGTGATATTCATTAGCTTCAATCGCCAGTTGGCTAGCTTGTTTTAGGAGCCAATGTGCTTCTGCTTCCAATGTTTGAGTCTTGCGACAAAAAAATGGAAGCCCTATGTGCCCTTGGGGCAATGTGGCTTACTTTACTCGCTATATAAGGTGTAGTTAATTTTTGAAAACATATTTTACCCACAGTTTCATTCAAAGCAAGCCATGTCAAAAACTAAATTTATTTTAGATAAAAGAAATTACTGCAGAATGATAATAAAACAAATTTTCTTTGAATTTTAGAACCAAGAATGAAGATGTTTGGCTACCCTAAACTTACATTGAAAGAAATTTCAAACCCGAAGCCGTTAGACTAAGAAGATTGCATGGTATTTGGTTTACCCAGTTGTTGTCTTTCCTTCCGTAGCTGCCTTCTCTTTTCTCTTTTCTCTAATAGTTGCGTCCTATTCGTCTCAAATTCTTTTCTTCTTGCCTCAATTTCTGTCTTGTTTCCAGTTACAACTACCTTGAAGACGAGATCATAGAAGTCGACAGTTCCATTCTTGTGCTGAAAGAATGCCAAGCTATTACAACAAAAATTACATACCAGAAAGTAAATAGACGCAAACTCCAATTTTAAGTCGGATTGAACTTTGCAGTAGCCAAAAGTTTTGTCCACTGGTTAGTGAGCTACTCTGCTGTGGAGCAATTATGTGGAGCTGCCAAACAGCCGCAAACAAAATTATTACAGAGGATGCCCTAAAGTAGGTGCACGCTGACTAGTTGTTGTTACTACCCTTATCGTACTGTTTTTCAAGAACTGATAACTATGGAAGGGTTGACTTTAACTTTAGAGGTACAAAAAATTATTGACGGCTCTTTAGTGCTGCTGGTCTTTTTTTGTAGCCATATGTAGCCTCTGATGGCTCAAAACTGAATACTCAACAAGCCAAAGTCACGTCGTTAGGTTAGACTGACAAGGGAATCAGTCGAAGTGGCTTCTTGCGATGATTTGTATACCATGTTGGAGGGCAAAAAACTCTGATTCCAAGTCTGTCTTTCCTGTCTGCGGCGCCTTCCTGCATGAGGAGTTATGAGCGTTTATTGGAGAAAAAAAGTGTGCAAAATGTGCAAATAATATAAAAACCGTAGTAACATTGTCCAATCTTGGCGTACGAATCCGAAATCCTAGCGCGCAAGACTTTAGAAGCGTTTTGGATTGCCGCCAAAAATCCAAATTTGAATAGGAAAGATGAGTGCATAGACATCACTAATGAGTTGGCGCCTTATCAGAGCCTTTGCGGCTTCTGAGGTCAATTTGAGGCCAGGCGAATAGGTATATAAGAAAGTAAGAGCTCAGTTACTGGTATAGTGGTCTGCAATACCATTTTGTCGGCATCTGTTTAGGTGAGCATTAGTTTAATCCTGCATTCACTTTCGAGTTCTTGGTTCACTGACGCATTGGGCGTTTTCCTAGGTCTTGAGGCGGTTTTTGATAGGATAGTTCACTTATGCGTTCGATGATTTCAGACTCTGAAGAAGGCGATACCGCCGAAACGTTAGTCGAATAAAGGATATACCAATCCCGGTGTCCAGCTAAGCAAGCCACAACAAGCGTAGTAACATTATTCTTGCTCTTAAATGGACCAGTGTAATCTTTCCAGCACTCTATAAAATAAATGCTTTTAGGTAAGATATATCCGCACTCCAGCTGTCTCATTCAAGCGTTGGGAAAATTTCGAAAACTGTTTTTATGCCGGAAAAACACTCATTTTTTGCTCCTTCAAACATTCATAACTCCTCGTCCAAGAACGAGCCACAGATAATTAAGACAGATTTGGAATCAGCGTTTAATGCCCTCCACTATGATATACAAACCATCTGAAAAGGCCACTTCGACCAACCATCCTTCCCTTGTGAGTCGCTAATTAATATGAAGATCTCACTTCATGGTAAGACTTTTTTACAAGTTGTGCCAATTATACCGCAACGACGTTTTTTTAGTGTTTTTTCAAAAATTGAATGGACCATTTGAACGTTTTAGAAACCCATGAAATAGTTGTCTGATGAAGTCAGCATGTCTCAAAACAATTTTGCGTAACTTTCATTCAGATTTTTTGGTACTTTTTGTTCTGATGGCCTATTTCACGATGACGCTATATGTAAAAAGTTTCTACCTTAATCCTACAATAATGAAGGGCAAATCGTCTTTAAGTGACTGTACCAAAAGACATTAATCATGGTACTGAAGGCAAGAACGCTTTGTGCTATAATAATAATCTTGGGTTCGATACTACATCATTTTTTGCAAGGAGAGAAAATGCTATTCACAAAGTGAAAAGTGTGTTTGTGACCGATAAATTCATTTTCCGCATTTCGCAGAGATTTTCCTGCGAAAAAGACCATTTTAGCGCCTTTCAAAATCGGTGTTAGAAACGTGTATGAGCACGGTAACTTAAAACTAATATAGTCAGGGCGAGGTGGAGTGGCTGCAATATGCAGATTGTGTACTAGAGTTCCAAACAACTAAGGGAAAAAGTTGCAGCCACTTAGGAGCTGTGAGCTCGAAAAAAAATCGGTTTTGTCGAGTGTGAGAGACTTCAGTCTTCGGAAGCAGGAGTTCTAGGCCAATTGGTACATTCCACATCTTTGTCCACATAATGTCTTCAATAGTATTTGAGCTTCCAAAAGTATTGTTTTTGAATTTTTCATTATTCTTGCATGCAGCAAGTTCGATCCGCTCCACTATTCTTTTGGAGGGAGAAGAAATGCTGTTCGTGGAGCGCAAGGAGTGTTTACGACTGAGAAAATTATTTTTCACTTTTCGCACAGATTCTCCTGCAAACGAAACCTTAGCTCCTTCCAGACGATGTCAAAAACGTGAATGAGCACGGTAGTCTGATTGCTTTCATATCATCATAATACACAGCATTCTACGAATTAATGTAAAGAACATGACTCAGTTTTCTGTGATTTGTAATTTTTCTAAGCTTACGGTGTTTTAGCCAAACAACCCCTCTTATAACCCTCTTACAACCCCAACCCTAAGTGCTCACTTTGCGACTCCGATGCGACACGCGCATCACACGCTTGACTCCAGTTCTAAGCCACATGTTTGTTTAGCCTTGCACTCAAATTGCTTGTACTTTGTAAAAAATCACAGCGAGTATGTCACTCATGTATTAATTGGTTTTGTGGCTTTTGTTCATCTATCAAAAGTGATTGCTTATATGCATGCATAGCTTGTTTCACAATATACCTTCTGCTTTTTGAGCCAAAAGCAACATCAATGTGCTTCCAAAAACGCATGCTCGCATCTCCAATTTTCACTGATGCAAATCTTTCGTAGAGAAACCTTCTTTAAGCAAGTTTCTGGTATGCTCTACTTCGAAATAAGAGTTTCCTTTTTGAATCTTACCTTTTTTCCTGGGCGGTATGTGCCCGCATCTCTTCTCAGCACATTCGTCAGTCTGATGCCGTCAAAATTCATTTCTGCTCTTGTCACAATCTGTAACGTCGAACAGATAGTATAGGTATCGTAGTATCAAAGGAATTATGATATTTTGATATGATTCCTAGAGTTAGAAAGCGAGTCATGACGAATATGGATCTAATATTTTACAGCGAGTTGACGCTTAATTTTTTTAGCATACTCAAACAAAAACTCTTTGAGAGCTCTGGCAAAATTCAATTAATACCTTTGTTTGTAGTGTAAAGTATATTTTACAAAACTAACAGGCATTCTCAAATTTTCTTTGTCACTTTTGAACCAAGTCTCAGACTAAAAAAAAAACTAATGATATGTTGAAAAGGATTGTTTGCATATTGCACAACAGACTACACAACAGACTATACCCCCTGAAATTATTTGTACTGAAAATAGAAATACATGTCCGAATATGAATGATTGCAGCGGCTATTCTGTATTACTTACCGTTCCATTGATTGTAGCCCTTTTTTGAGTCTCGCATAATGAAAAGTTGAAATGGGTGATTCTTTTAGCTTTTGCAAATGATCTGGATGTTTAGTTCGAAATGCGGACATATCTATACTTAGTTAACAACTTATGCTCGCTCGCTCAAGCCTACGCTGCTTGCCATATTGTGCGCTAAATTGTAGCCAGCCATATCAAAGCACTTTAGACGGAAATTGAGAGCAACTCAATTTACCACTCAACACCACGCTTATGTTCGTACTCTTCACTCTTAGATGAATGAAACATATCAACATTCTAGGTGAGTCGATTGCTCGGACTCTGTGTTTGAGAATATATCAGTACCAACACCATAATCTCTCGTATTTGGTAAGCAGAAGGAACAAGTACTTACCGTTCCATTGACATTGGCAAATCCTTCGCATTCAGGCATTCTAAAGTGGTATGGGTCTCGTTCGCAAAAGGTGAAAGTTTCGTTGACCTAGATTCTGATAGTCACATTTAAGATGTGAGTCACATTTGAGATGTGAGTCACATTTAAGATATTCTTTTTTCGGGAGACTGTACGCATCCAGTGGTTGGCACCGGGAAACAGGAGATCAAGATCCGAACCGTAAGACACAGTTATCGTCGAGTTGCGAGTCTTCATCGTTGCACAGACAAAAAGGCTACAAAGCGTGGTGACAGATCTCAATAGCTGAAAGACGTACATTAAAAAAGCGTTATAACACCTCTGGTATATGCGTGATGATATTGTATATTACAAAGATCGCACTTCTCTATTGATTCAGCAACTACAGCAACTACCCCAATATCACGATTACAAGATGCACCTTTTTTTTTTCAAGCAAGCAGCTCGGCTGCACCGCTGACACTTGCGAAATGGTCACTTTCTTACACAAATCTTCCAGGTAAGGAACAACAAGGTCGAGGGCCCATTGGCGGCAAAAATAATGTGTTCAGGTGGGTAGAGTTCAGCAAAAATAGAAAGAATAAAAGCATTTTATTAATTCGCTTTGCTCGAATGTGCTCCAAAATCTGTTCACAGTGGTAACTCAATGCGCTATTACAATAATCTGCATACACTTGCTGCTAATGGATGGATACTTCAGTGTACAATATGTGGTCAGTCACTCGGATATTTCGAAAAGTTGATAGGCTTTATTCTTGCTCGTTTTGAAAATAACAATCTCTTTTATTATAATATAAGAGTTATAGTTGATGTCGGCACTTAGCACCTATGTGACTTAGTTTTATATAGAAATAATAATTTTTTAGGTGTAGACGTGTTTTTGTGATAGTATAGCTCCGCACACGATTGTACATAAAGAACTTTAGTAAGCATCTTGCGATAGAGCCGGAACACAAATATTCCGTGGCAGAAATTGATCCAAAAGCTTATTTTTGTCGAGGGAAAAGTTGGTGAAAATTAGAGTTATGCAAGGTTCACGAAAGGGAAAACGTCAAAGTACGCTTCATTTGGGACAAATTCATGAGAACATGATCGCGAAAATGGCAAACACAACAGGAGCCGTTGAGCACTGCCGAACAGCGCTGTTCTTCCTGAGGCAAGTCTTTGATTGCAAGGCAGAAGAGTGAGGGGAATTTGCCATCCTGCGTGGTTTACTACATCTCTCTCAGCGCAATTCTGCTTTGAAAACTCTGGCGCAATAATCGGGATTTTTTGCAAAAAAAGCGGGTTCGGATGCCTTGTAAGCGAAGTTTCCGGTCAATACAAGGTCATCAAGATCTTGTCCAAGCCTCTGGCAAACTTAAAGGCGGGGAACGAAAGAAATCGGGTGGCCCGGATTTTTCGAGATAAATGTCCATAGAGATTAGGACTTGTTGATCGCGAAATTGCATCTTATTTGCAAGAGAGCTTTCACTTTAGGGCTACGTTATCAAGACTTTAAATAAACTTAACCTTTTTAAGGTTTGCTAGTCATTTTCGGCGTTACATTAAAGGGCTTTTTGCATTATATCCAGTTATTAGGGAACAGAAGGAGACACTCAATCGAAGCTATGAAAGCCAAAGGGAGCTTCGAGTTAAGCCCTTACGAAGACCTGTCCGCGGGATATAGAAAAAGACTTCAGAAACATGAAATTCAGCTAGGCGATACAGCATGACGATTACAGCCAACGCCAATTCAAAAATGTTTCCCAAGACAAGATGTGGTCTGTGAACTTGCATATCAATTCACCAGTCCTTCTAGCGGTAATTAAGAAAAGTCCTTGGACAATTTTCTGCTAAGGATGATGGACATGTCTCGAGAGATGCTTACTAATGGTGTTTATATGCTAAACTATTATTTACCTAAATGCCTGCTAAAATCGCTTACGTATACAGCTAGTCACATAAGTGATAGATGTCAACATCAGCTCACTTTCACAGCATGATATTACGATAGAAACGAACTATTATTATTTCTAGAGCGGGCACGTGTCAAGCTCAAGCAACTTTTGGACACATCCGAGTGACTGACCTTCCATCGTACATTGCTATCTTATACAATAGCAGCAAATAGAAATTATTGCAACAGAGCGACAAATTGCCACTACGAGCAGATTTCAGAGTAAATCCGAGCAAAGTTTGTCATACTGTTACAATTATTTTTATTTCTTACTTTTATCGCAGTCTCTGACACATTTATATGCGAGAAGATAAATTGGAGCTAAGGATGTTATCTATAGATACAAAATATCTGACCAATGGCGATGCGCGGAATTTGATGAAGTGCGGCTAATGCAGCCCAACTTTGGCTGTTTTTTTTTGTATAAAAGCGGTATTGTGCATCATCTTCATCTTGAGATTAAGATTTCTAACATTTTCTAACCGTGAAATTCACTTTTATACGGTAGGGTTTGCGGTTGATGCTGACTGGAACAACAGTTCTCTACTTTAGTCGAGGATTTATTTTTGCAAACCGTTTATTACCGGTGCCTTCACCTCTGCTTTGTAGAGGCTCGCACTGGTCATCACGGAAATGTTATACTTACGTCCTAATAGCTTGTTTCTCACATCGTCATTTGCCTGAAGCAAGTGACTCTCAGTTAAGAATGAACAGCTCTCGCTATCATATATCACATGCTAAAGGCAGTGTCCGGGCGAAAGCCGATTTTAAGTTTGTGCTTCCCCGGGCCTATTCGCTATGCTGGATCCGAAAATCCGCAATAGAAAGCGCAAAAACGGCGAAAAAAGGGCTCTAATGCAGGAGGGAAATCAGGAGGTGGGCAGAGTTTTCCCCACTGTGAATTCACGCCGCTTCTGGAGCGAATTTAACAGTTTCGCTAGCCGCCCCAACATTTTCACCGGCCAAGTACGAACGCTTGACTTGAAATCAGAACCGAGAAGATCGCTCGGGAAGCTGGGAGCGTGAATTCACAAAGGTGAGGACCCCACCCACCTCTAATTTCACTCCTGTGTTAGAGCCCTTTTCCACCGTTTTCGCGCTTTCTAGTGTGGATTTTCGGATTTAGCGAATAGGCTCGGATAAGTACAAAACAAAACCTCAAAATCGACTTTTTGCCCGGACGCCGCCCGTAAAGTATTGTGAGTCATTCCTCGCTGTAATTTAGTAAGACAAACTCCACACAGCTTCAGATTAAGATAAGTCATGATATGCAATTTAGAGGTGACTTAGGTGTCATTTAGCAGCTTTTATACATATGAAATATAACTTTAAGTGTACAAATGTCGCATCTATAGCGCACTTTTGAGAAAGATTATGACAGATTATGTTCATAGGAAAATACGCATGTATTATCTGCAGGTAATTGTACGAAAAGTTCTGAACTCTAGCGAGTGAAAAGAAATTATTTGGCTTGCTTGACTGTCGTGATGTCATTCTTCAAACCGAGTAACGTGAAGATCAAGTATCCGGTCTATGTTGCCCGTAATTCAAACGCGCTGTTACAAGCTCCGGGCAAAGCCTTTTTTATCATCTACAGTACCGCTCATAATTCGTCAAAAAACTCGCCGCACTCCAAGCAAAGTGTGCTGCAGTGCGCCGGAGAGCGGAAGAGTGCGCCGAAATCCGCATCGCATCGCCACATCTCGCTTCAGAATAGACGTATTCTGATTTTAAGGACTCCGTTCGATTCAGTTTGGCCAGACGCATCATTCGGTATATAGAAGTGCCACAATCTGTCGGGGTACGGCAGGTATACGGTAGACAGTGGGGTTTGCTCACTTTTGTAGATTTCTGTTTGGATGGATTGCCCAATGTGCTGATAACAATATTGTCATTGATTTGCTGCTGATGGCACATTGTAAGGATACTATAGGAGTATGATAAAGGGTCGCCCCACGCTGATGGATTTCTAAAGTCAGCTCAAGGTGTAATAGGCTCATCAAATATGCAAAATTTCCGTGAACGTCGAGAAAACCCGGGGATTCTGCGAGAGTCTGCCACTTTCCCGGATTTCCGCGACATCCCAGGAATTCTGCGAAACCACGGAAATTCCTAGAAATCACGATAATCACGCAAACTACGCAGCACCATCACTTCCTTCAGAATAAATATATTCTAAATCCGGATTCCAGAAGCAACATTTTGTTGTGCTCATCAAGGCAAATCTTTAGATGTACAGCATGCCCTCGATATTCCGTTTCCAATTTTCTCAAAATCTTCTGCTGTCCTTTCGCATAGATCTAGAGCAGCACTTATCTAACAGAAAAGATTCCTGTAAGTACTACTCGACAGCACTGTTCTTTTAGATTATCGTGCGTTAATAAGTGGCCGTAGACTTCTTTCCAAATAAGGATAGAAGGGCTGGTGAATTGTGACGATATTGTCGTCCCAAATCGGAATATAAGACGTGCTGTATATCGAAAAATATGCCTTAGTGAGCTGAGCACAATGCTTTTTTTTGATTCGTAACATATTCATTCGGAAGGAGGTTACGGCGAGTAGAATTTGTCGCGTGATTTTAGAATTCAACAACCCTTCCATCCTTTTCTGGAAAGAAGTCTGCGGCTACTATTTAGCGCACGATAACCTTCACGGCAATACTATTAGTGTTTAGTGGAATATTTTATGTCGGATAAACTCTGCGTTACAGCTGGGCAAAAGGGCCTTCGCAGAACTTGAAACGCAATATCGAGGGTATGCTGTATATCAAAAGATTTGCCTTGACGAGTTGAACAGAGTGCTGTTTTCGGATTCAGAATATATCCATTCGAAAGGAAGTTATGGTCATAGCTTGCGTGATTTCCGTAAATTCGCGGAACTCATGGAAGTAGCTGACGGGAAAGTCACGGACTTCCGCAGAATTTCCGAATTTCTGCGACGTTCACGGAAATTTTGCGCATTTAGTGAGCGGTATTACACTTGAGCTGATTTTAGAATAAATCTGTCAGAGTGACTCTCCAAATACTCCTACAGTATCTCTGCAATGTGCTATCAGCAGCAAATCAATGGCAGTATTGTTACCAGCACACTGGACAATCCACCAAACCAAAATTTGCAAGATTGAGCGAAAACCTACTTTCCACCATATACCTCGTATTTCGACAGATTGTGGCACTTCTATACACCGAATGATGCGTCTGGACAAGCTGAATCGAACGTTGTCCTTGGAATCAAAGTACGTCTATTCAGAAGCGAGATATGGCGATGCGACGCAGAATCCGGCGCACTCCAGTGAAGT